TGGTCGTCCACTAGATACATATCCAGGTGGTTATGGCGCTCCTCGTTAAGTTTTCTAACGGACACTGTAAACATTCGATTCATAATTTCGTATTGATTCTCATTTAATAATAAATATTTGAAAGTGAAATATGTAAACAGGCGTGAATTTCATGTTTTTGATTGTGCAGCGTCTTCGTATTGCGTCAATGGACGAAAACAAAAACAAGTTTGTTCTGCGAAACTCTATTTCAATTGAAAATTAATTGTTGTTTTTGTTGTGAAAAACCAATCGTATATAAACGCATTGCCATTTTCATCACATTTCAGTGCTTTCATTTCTCCATGTCTTGCTGTTGCGATTGCGATTGTGATTGTGACATCTGCTGTGACTGTGGTTGCGACTGTTACAGCTGTTGTGATGATGTCGAAATCATCTACGTCGATGCAAAACCTCTTAAATGTTGTCCTGAACCCGTTGAGTATTATGTGGAATACGTAACATGTGAAATTGATCCATGCGATATTTGCTGCTGCTGAAATTCAAACAATAAACAGACTCGTATTCTCTATCGATTAATTAGCTTTACGTAGTATCATTCCTTCTTTTTTTTGTTTCGATGAAAATAAATGATTGTAAACAAAAATAAGAGCGTATTGATTGATATTTTTTACTAAAAGCATAATCTATTGACGTCTACAGGCTGTACACCTATGCTTTCGATATCCTTCTTGGTATGTTTTATGCTGATCTGTCTGTTCGTTTATTATTTTCGTTTCCTTCACTATCGTTATCAATATTTTCATCGGTGCGGTATTTCCACGCCATCATTTCGGTTTTTCTTCGGACATTTGAAAACATTATGGAACTGTGCGTCTTATCATCGTCAACTTGAAAGTTGGACGAAACAATATGGGAAAATTTATGGAATTTATGAAGGATCGCTTCCGATCTTTGTTGTTAGTGATGCTGATTTTCTTCACGAAGTTTTCATCAAGCAGTTTTCGGTTTTTCACGCACGAAAACCGACGATGTTAGATAATATATTTCACGACATGTTCTTCTCCTCTGGAGCGAAGTGGCGTCGGCAACGACAAGTCATCAGTCCGACGTTTAGTGCAGCGAAACTAAAGACGATGAGTCCGCTCATCAATCGATGTATCAATGAATTCGAAAAGAAATTACCGCGACACGCCGAAGATGGCGAGGAGTTTAATATTTACTTCTATTACAAAACAATGACGATGGACGTCATTTGTAAGAATTTCCGGCGAAACAAAGTTAAAAATCTCCTTTGTTTAATTTTCTTCAGGTCGATGTGCATTTGGAATTGATACTGATGTACAAAATAATCCGAATAATATCTACTTTCGAAAGGTTTCGGAGTTCTTTGATACGAGTGCGATTGACACGAATATCTTATATCGATCTGCTCAGTTAATGCCAATAATCGAGACTCTTCTAGGTCGGTTATTTGCCGTTACAAATAAAGCATTGACGGTTATCAACACTCGACTTTTGCCGTTCATATCACCAACCAGACAACTGAGTGAAGTGCCGATCACATGGCTTGTCAATCGAGTGCACACAATTGTCGACCAACGACAAAAAATACCTATTCTACGACCTGATTTACTGAATCTCATGTTAGAAACAATGAATGTACGTAAAATTTTCTAGATGTTCTTGTGAAATTATTTTGTCATAGAATGCAAGTGAAGATTCGAGAAAATCAATCAATCAATTAACTCAGGAAGAAGTTTGTGGAAATATCTTCGTCTTCATGTTAGCCGGATACGAGACTACATCGACATCTTTGGCATATGCAACCTATGAACTTGCTCGACATCCTGACGTTCTTCAGAAATTGCAGTCGGAAATCGATCAACTTCTATTGGAAAATTTCGATGACGATGATGATGATGAAGAAATAAAGAAATATCCTGATTACGACATTGTCTCACAAATGTCCTATATGGATATGTTTGTTACGGAAGTCTTGAGAATGTATCCAATCGCTAATCGAGGCATTCAACGACGAGCCATGGAAGATACTGTAATCCAAGGTATTAAAATTGAGAAAGGCTGTGTGGTGTGTGCTGATGTCTATTCATTACATTATGATGCAGAACTTTGGGGACCGGAAGATCCATACGTGTTCTATCCTGAGCGTCATAAAAACAAACGTCATCCTATGGCGTACATGCCTTTCGGAGCGGGTCCACGACAATGTGTTGGTATACGATTTGCATTGATCGAAATGAAGATTCTACTGACTAGATTACTTCGACATTATACAATACTGCCTGGCGAACATATAGAAAGCAAATTTATTATTCAAGATCGAACAGTTATTGCGCCAGATGAAATCTGGATTAAACTAATTAGACGAAATGTTGAGGGTGCGGGCGTAGCTTGAGATTCAGCAGAAATATTTCATTTATTTTCAATTAATCAATATACTATGTAATTAGTAGAGTAATCTGCTCTACAAGTCTTTTCGTAGCTGCACATAAGATATGATGGTGTAGGAGATTCAATAGACCACCTAAACATATAGAATAAGATGCTAACTAAAATATAATGTAGAGTATTATCGGATGGATCACACGTATATGCCTCTGCTCCACGAGTAATCAACCCATCAGCATCTGTTGAGAGAAAGAAAAATATGATTCTATATTTATTTTGATTTCATTTAATCTAAGGACTTTTTCTACGGTAACTCGTCAATTTTGGCATTTAACTGCCATGGCGTGTGACTCTCGACCTGAATCATATTTATTTGCCACTTGAGACAACGCAAGTTCTATAAATAAAAATAATAAATTAGTATTCTTATTCTCCAGATGTTTATATACATAACAATGATTCTCAATAAGATCAATCATCTATTTGTTGTGAACATTTGATCGGCCTGCCATTTTTAAATGCCCCTTTCCCAAGCACAGCTGAATATAAATGTTCCAGTACTGAATTATAAGTAACATCAATAACTAGTTGTTTGTTTATTGCCAGCGCTACAGATATAGCTATAAACAAAAGTCCATGTACAAAATTTGTTGTTTCATTGATGGGATCGATGATCCATATTGGATCATCACTGAGCTCCAGAAGCAGCAGCTGATTCTTTAACAAGAAATCTAATATACGACACATGATTTCTTACTTGTGTGCTAGAAATTTTTCTTGTAATTTTCCAATTAAAACTTTTTCTAGACGTTGATCGAATTTGGCGACAAGAACAGATGCATCTCCTTTTATTTCAAATCGTTTTGCACTCGAAAAACCTTTCATTTCAAGCGCCGATCAAAAACACTACACATGTCCTTCAATACCAGTTGTACAATCACTCACATTACGAGCTAACGCAGCAAGGCTGAGAGTGGCTCATTTTTGCATGAGAAAACTAAGAGAGTCTTCAGTTCTGTAAACTTTAGGGTAAAACCTAACAGGAAAAAGGGAAATGATATCATCGATATGCACAACTGAGTGTTTCCTACATTCTGCTTGTCATGAGAACAGGCAAATGACTAAGAGACGTGCAGTCGAACAGAACAAGAAAAAAAATCACACAATCAAAGAACATGACAAAATGTAACCAATGATTTTTCAAGTTTTCATTTCCGATTTTAGCTAAAAACAGATCTTACTTGCACAACAAAAACACACGTAACATACCAAAACCTATTTTCTGCATATTTCAGCAGTCACTATAAAGAGTTCTTTCATATATCGATCGATTCATCAAACAAGATTCAAATGTAACTATTTCGACTGAATTTCTCCTCCAAACATGACTACTTCAAGCTCCATTCCATATGATTATCAACAAGCCAATCCATTGCTGTATACATTTCGTGATTATCATACGGGAATTCAACCGTACTTTATTTTACCAGTACAATTTTTAATCTTCGACTTGACGTTACGCTTCTGGGATAGAGCTATGTATGGTACCTGGTTATTACCAAGTGAATTCATTGAAGTCAGCGCTGATGAAAAGGTTGGAATACCACCCTCGCCAGGACCATTGCTATCACCATTACCTTCACCGCGAGTTCGAGTGATATTTGTTCCACAAAGGCAAAACATCTTTAGTCTTTCCACGATCTTCTTTGCTCAAGATTATAAAAAGCTTTCAGTCAAAACAAAGAAAGCGAAACATATTCCAATATTTGATTTATACGATCTACTATTCTCCGTCACACCATTACTTGCTCATGCTATTTGGTATTGTATTATTCAATCGAATTGTATGTCAGGTGAAAATGCCACAACATGGAATTGTTATAATCTCTTTGGCTATCGCATTTATAATTATATATTTAGCCCATTCGCTGTTTTCAGTTTTAACTTTTTTTCGAAGTTAATTTTAGCGATACAGAAACGAAGGCAGAAAGTTTCGCTATTTCAACGAAAACAGAAATGGAGAAGAATTGCAGTTATGATTATTTTCTTTATAACTTTAACTTTGTCGATACTCACATTTCTTTTCGTGGGAGCATTAGTTCTTCCGTTTTTCTTTACAAATACTTTACCAATGGTGATTATTTATGCATTCATGGCGATGACTTATCTATACATTCTCATAGCTATCAACATTTTCCTGAAGTTCTACACGGTTGTCACAGGAAAGGCGTTTTCTCTCGGAGATGAGAATCTCAATTGGATTAAAAGGCAAATGAAAAAACTTCACAATCATCGACAATTAGTTATGCAAGCTGGCGTTCGATTATTTCCATATTTACTCTCGATTTTATTTAATTTGTCTCAATTTTTGTACTATGGATCAGATTACCTGGGTGCGATGAGTCGCGAAGCGCAAAAGGGAGATCCAACTGCTTATTTCGGTCGAGTGCAAAATTCATCGCAAATTGCACATACAATTTTAAGTTCAACATGAGAGATGGAGTTCCGCTCCAAAATTTTTCTTTATCTTTCTTCTATTTTAAAAAGTAAATGTTTCTTTGTTTATTTTCTTCAAGATGCACTTTACCGATATTCTCTTGTCCTATAGAAGCGCATGTGTTACGACCAGTTATATTCACATTGCTTCCTTATATCAGATCAAATGCTTTCGTTTTTGTATGATTTATGAACATCTGCAAACATGATAAGATTAACAATAAAAAAGGATATATTCTGAATATTTACGTCCATCTTGAAGGTGTAATGAGTAAAAATAAGAAACAAACTGATGTGTACTCACACTCTCAAGTGATAAAAGATTTCGTCCACATTCAACTATACGTTGGAAAACTCCAACATACCTTTAAAACATTTTCTCATTCTATTATCGACGGGATGATTAAGCTCGAATACCGTTACATATTTGGTGACTCAATTATGAGTCAAATGCTGCACAAACGTAAAAAAAACTAGAATTACTAGTTTCTCTCTTGCGTTCTTTTACTTCCTCCAACTTTATATGTCGTTTGAGTCACAGTCTTGCATCGCAGAGATACTATAAAACAAAACTGATTTCAACACTTTCGACTGCTTCAGCAGTCAAATAAGGATATCGTAGCGCTACAATAAAAGCAAGTGCTCTCCATATTAACGACATCAGAGATTAGCGATAGATCAAGTTCAAATCCAAGTCAAGAGTTACGGATTCATACTTAGCACGTTCTCAGTTTTAGAAAAAAATTTTAGTCTGTCTTTTCGAGTATTAACATGCCAATACATAGTGGTATGTATAAAACGATTATGATCGAATCTATTGTTGATGCTGTTCTGCAACGCTTATTCCGGCATTTTAGGTTTTGTGTGTGATGGCTGTAAAATAGAGGATTTCGAAGGTTTACGATATCATTGCGAAATCTGCATCGATTACGATTTATGTGAAAAGTGTCATGATGATGGGAAAGAAAGTTTACAACATTTAAAAGTGCATGCTATGGAACGCATTTCAGACTGCAGTCCTTCTCAAGTGAGCTTCATAGCAACGATTTTGTTACAGAGCAGAGTAGCTAATCAGATACGATATGAGGTAGTGAAGGATCCAAAAACTCAAGTTTAACTGAACTTTTTCAAGATATAACTCATAGCACAGGTGAACACCTGACGACTAATATGCATCAAGATCCACGTGCTTGTAGGAAAATGTATAAAACCAGCGTTGTCCTCTAGATTCTACAAAAAATTTCTTATCGAAAAACAGAACTTCTACTTGAATATATTCATTTGTCATTTTTATTTGATCTGACTTGAAGTCTGCTGTTGCACTGAATTTGCCAGTGGACAGTTCAATGTTACCTGATGGAAGCAATGACAATCGAATAAGTGAAGTGGAATATCTCTCTATTTTATTGGATTTTTGTCTTCGACGTTTTATTGATGAGCCAATACGTTGTGAATACATTAATACTGTCCATTTCAAAGAACGTTTTGCTGATGCTTTAAACTGGACGAATGGTTTCATCGCAAAATTATCTGGTAGCCGTCTGACCGGTTTAGTCGAACAATATTTCGTTGAGTTGGCTAACGATCGTANTGAGAAATCACTCAAAATAAGACAAATAGTCATGCCTGCAAACCATCCCGATTTGGCTAGCTCCTACAGAAACATCGGCGAAGTATATTGCCATATGTATAACTATAGACAAGCATTGGAATTCTACTATAAAGCTCTTGAAATCGACAAAAAAGTTTTGCCCCCGAGTCATCCGAATTTGGCTTCTTCCTACAATAACATTGGTGCTGTACATTTCGACATGGGTAATGCTGCCAGTGCACTGAGATGTTACGAAAAAGCGCTAGAAATCTTCGAAAAAAACCGCTCGACCAATCATCTCGACCTGTCTGCAACTTACAGTAACATCGGTCACGTGTATCACCGCATGGGCCACTATTCACAAGCATTGGAATTTTACTACAAAACTCTTCAAATCGACGAAAAATGTCTATCTTCGAGCCATCCCAGGTTGTCTCAATCCTACAATGCAATCGGCGCATTGTATAGTAGTATGGCTGACTACCCGAAAGCACTTGAGTATTTATTAAAGATTCAGGAAATCTACGAAAAAAGTTTACCTGTGAATCACACTAGTTTGGCTAGTTTTTACTTAAACATTGGTGACGTTTATCGTCTTATCGGTAATTATGAGAAAGCCCTTTGGTTTCAACATGAAGCAAATAAAATATTCAAAAACATTTTGCCATTTGATCATCCGCATATGGCTGTTTCCTATTGCAACATCGCTGCAGTTTACCGCGACATGAATGATAACTTCACAGCGCTTGATTTTTACGAGAAATCTCTACCAATCTTAGAGAAAACTGTATATACCGATCATTCGTATTTAGCTATTTGTTATCACGGTATTGGCACAGTTCATCGAAATTTGGCCAATTACACAAAAGCATTAGAATTTTTTGAAAAGTCACTTAGAATAAGAGAAAATTTCCTGCCTCCTGATCATCCTGATATCGCTCAATCCTACCATAACATTGGTTGTATCTATCAGACCAATGGGGATTCTTACAAAGCGATAGATTTCTATGAGAAAGCAGTTAAAATAACAGAAAAGTGTGGATATTCGCATACTCCGTCGTCAGTAATATTATACCAGGACATAGCTACAGCTTACTTAGTTGTAGGTCAGATGGTGAAGGCAGTTCATTTCCTGGAAAAAGCATTTGCCAACATACATAAAATATTCCCATCAACAGATCATAGTGTTACAAAATTGAAAAATACCATTGATCATATAAAAATGATGCTCTAAATCTATTTTATATTTTTCCAGTTGATAGTAGGTGAGAGAAATTCTTATCTTTTCATATCAGTGTATCAACATCTACCTTTGCAGCGCAAATGAATTTCAAATTGGCACATAATATTCTTCGTATTACAAATCCAAATGAATTCATTCAATTTTACCTGAATAACTTCGGTATGCAAAATACTTTAATTCACAATACATCGTACAATGTTAGTCTCTTGGGCTACCCCACAAATTATGACGAAAACTTCAACAAAACTTCGAGTGCATTTCCATCGCCAACATTTCTTGAATTACATCATGCGGGTGCAGTAACAAATATCTCAATGGTTAATTCGGGTAGTGTAAATGTCTATTGGAAGATGGGAATCACATTACACGATGTTGATCATGCAAGAGAAATCTTACAATCGAAAGGAATCAAGACAAGTGATCCGTCACAATTCGAAAATATTGGTTATGTGTGTCATCTGACAGATCCAAATGGTTTTATCATTGAATTATTACAGCATCATTTTCAAGAAACATTTCTTAAAAAACACCTACCAAAAGAGAACTTTCGATTGGGATATCCATGTTGTATTGGACAGATCACATTACAAGTGAATGATATAGATAAAACTCAAAACTTCTATGGTGATGTATTGGGTATGGAATTGTTGTCGATACAAGAAGTACCACGATATGGTTTTACGCTATATTTTTATGCTTGGACAGATGAAGATCCACCCAAATCGGAGGTGATCAGCACGCGTGAATGGTTATGGAAACGACCATATACAACTATTGAACTACGGCACTTTCATGGAACAAAACAGATACCACATTTTACAGATTTACAAAAAGATGAAATCGGCTTTCAAGGTATTCGAATAATGTGTACTGATCTAGATTTATTTAAAGACAAAATGACAGAAGAAAATATTAGTTTCAACGAATCGAATGGAGCATTCGGAAGAGAAATTGTCATTCGAGATCCCGATAATATACCGATTTATGTTACAACCAAATTTGAATATCATGCGCTTCGTACCAACTACCATTATGATCCGGATACAGACAACGTTTTGTAGTGTAGTGCAACCAAGGGCATTCGTCGAAATTTTTTATGTAATTGTCGTATGTGTCGCCACTTCGATACATTATTTTTAGTGTGAAATGTGTTAATTTTGGAAGACGATTTTGTAGTTGTTTTAGAAATACATTTAATGATGTTCGATATTCGTCGAGGAAATTTGTATGACACGGGAATGTTACAGTATTTAGATTCGGAAAGAGTTGTGCTAGTTCGTAGAAGAACGTGCGATGGTATATTGGTGGATACCGCGGATGGTGATCTTTCAGATTGTATCGTCGAAGATCTTCGATGTGAAAATGTCGGATTTTTCTCGAAGATCTTTTTGAGAAGAGTGAGTTGAATTGTTGAATTATAGCCTTTGTATCATTAGTGGAGACAGACAATGTGACTAGATTTGGCAGTGAATTGAGAAGTTCTGTTAAGAACTTGTGCTCGTCAGATGCGAGTATAGTTTGGTTATGGAGAGTTAGATTTAGTACTTTGATGGTCATGTGGTTGTTGAGGGGGTAGGAAGATTCGTGAGAAATGACATTATCGAAATTTAAGTCGAGAGTTGCTGGAGAGGTCAAGGCCACATCGCAGTGAAAAGTAGTGAGAGAAGTGAAATCACTCAATAGATGCGAGATTTGGAGAGCAGCATTGTTTACAATTAGTGTTAACGATTGAATTTGATTTTTGAATACATCAAGAAATTCTTCTTTCAACACCTCTTCACTTATCGGCTTTTCATGTTTAAATTCTAAGAATAGTTTTGTTAATGTTTTCGGTATTCGTACGTAACGTCGCTGCAGATTACTTGGATTATAACAGTTCGATATCGATAATCGAAGTTCTTCGAGATTTGGTAGTAGTTTGAAAATAGATGAAAATGTCGTGGATTGAAATTTGCGAAGATTCAGAGAGAAGTACTTGATTGTAGATATCCGCTCTCGAATGTAAGGATAGTCGAAATCAGATTCATCCAGGAGGATCAACGATGTCAAGTTTGGTGATGCTAAGGACGCGATCGTTTCCGGTACATCAAGACGAGAGAGTGTTAGGGTTGATAGAGAAGAGATTCGTAACGCTTGGGTAACAAGTTCTCCTTGTACAGCGTACTGCTGAGAACCAAAGAACACGATTGATTTCAGTGTCAATGATTCGAGATTGGTGAAAAGATGAATGAGAGGTTGAAATAAATAAAACTGATGGTCACCACTAATCTGAAGATCGCGGACATAATGTCCTTGATAAGGAACGACGTATTTATAAAATAAAACGAAATGTTGGTACGACAGACTTTCTCGTGTAAGATCAACTTCATACAAATACGGTTCAAGAATATGCTGAAAACGTTGGTTTAAGTTTCCAAAAGAGTAAAGTAGATCAAATCTATGTAGATATTGGAAAAGGGTTAGTAGAAGTTCATCAGGTAAATGTTCCATTGGTTTATCTACAAATACAAAAAGGAGAGATCATAAAAGTGTGCACTATTTATTTGATGTATTAAACAGAAAGAATTAGTAAGACATTCAGATCTTAACATCATCCTTCCATTCTCCAGTCAAATTTATCGCACCATTCGCACCATATTCTATTCCTTGTCCATCCTTTTTGCCGTTCTTCCATTGTCCTTCATATCGTCGACCGTTTTTCCAGCACATCATTCCTTTCCCATGTGGTTCTCTTTGTGCATTGATCTCTCCGACATATTTATCACCGTTCTGATAATGAATTGTATCAACGGAATGCGGTGCCGAGTGCTCAACTTTTGTATTGTCATTGTCTACTAAAGGAATGGTGAATGTTGCGTTAAGAAAATTTTCATTCGATGGAACTAGAAAATTAAATAAAATTTATATTTTATTTGAGTGAATTCGAAGGTTTACTTGTGTTTAAGTCGGGTGTAATCACTCGAGTAACATCCATATCAGTTTCATCAACTTTGAAGAACAAAATTGGTTGTGCACAACAAGTGTCATGCGGTATTCGTGTGGAAGATGAAAGTCGTTGATTGTTGAATACACCGTAATGTTGACGTTTCTTTTCCTTATTTCTATCGAACAATTCACTCTTTAAATCATCAATATCCGCGTTAGCGTTAATGTGAACCTTCTCTGGCTCGTTACCAGTAACTTTTGCCCATACTTCAATCAAATCAGGAGTAGACATTTTGAAAGTGCAAAGAAAACGAACGATGAAGAAAAGAAAAAACCGTCAATTCAGTCACGTGGCCATTGTCTTTTAAAGAACAGAAAGAAAAAAAAAGAATTTTTCTTGTTCAAGAAACTTCTCTTTCTATGCGTTCTTCCAATGGAATTTTTATTGAGAAATCAAATCAAATTTTTGGACTCGATGATTAAAAGTATCAGCGACATAGAGATTTCCTTCGGAATCAAATGATAAATCCATGGGATTAAAGAATTGGTTTGATTGACTTCCATAACCATTTCCACCCACAACTATTTCACCTACTTTTGCACCTTCCTTCCAACGCATTACTCGACGATTATTGCAATCTGCCACATAGACTTGACCATAATCATCAACAAACAAACCGCGAGGATAATCCAATTGATTGCGATTCTTTCCCTCTCGATTTCCACCAGCTACAATCACACCTTCGTTCGCATCTTTTCTCCATTTCATTACACGATGATTAGAACTATCGGTGATGTAAACAGATTGTTCATCATCAACAAAGATATTAGTAGGTCCGTTGAGTTGATTGAGTTGATCTCCTCTCCAACTCTGACCAGCAACTACTATTCCTTGTTTTCCTTTTACTTCTCCCATTCTCCATCTTCACACTTGATTTTGCCTCGAATCAGACGCATAAAGAAATCCATATTTGTCTATTGCCAAGCCTGAACAAGCAATATTTTCAATGAGAATTTCTTGATGAGTTTGATTGAACCATTGAATTACACGTTTGCCTCCCCAATCAGCAATGATTGGTGAATTATTTTGTCCAAGGATAATCACATTTGGATGTCTCACTTCCTCTGCTCGATTTTCTTCTCCACTTCTATCAGCAACAATCGTTCCTTCAGTTTCATTTGGTTTCCATTTCATAATACGATGATTTAGCGTATCAGCAATAAAAATATTCTTGTTTTGATCAATGGAGATTCCTTCGGGATGATCAAGTTGATTGAATTCGTCTCCCTGTCCATGTCCTCCAGCAACAGTCGTTGCATTTTGTTTCCATCTCTTGAATTGTACTCCTAAAAATTGACATTTTACTGATTAACTTTTCAATATTTCTGTTTGTGAGTTTCAACAGTTCTAACTAGACTATTCGATTCAGTTTCCATGATGATTACTTCAATTTGAAAGCATTAAACTGAGCTTACTTTTCGTCGTCGTATCAGGTGGTATGATTGTCGTTGTCTCATTTGTCCCTATTCATCAATAGAAATTATTTGAATTAAACATTCTCTATCTATACCATTTGATATTGGTGGACAAATATTTTCATTCACCATCGACATTGGGTAACAAACAGGACTATTACTGCATCGACGATGATGCACACAGATATGATCTGGCTGAGAACATTCTTGTGATGGCCCACATGGAACAAGTTGAGAACACGATTTCCAAAGAAAAGCACAAGCACCAGTGTTCTGAGCATCGATCACCGGAAAACAACCACAAGCACTATTAGCCGAACATCGTTCATATGGAGTTGCACTGTGACATAGTTGAGAGTTGATTCCAACTACTCTAGGCAAACATTTTATAGAAGAGCATACAGCATGAAATGGTAAACAAACCTATGAAACTAAATTAAAATAAATTTAGTTAATCATTAAATTTGCGAGAAGAAAGAAGATTTTCAATACCTTAAGAGAGCAAAAACGAAACAATCTTTTGTAGATTGCATTGCGGAATGAGAATATATAGTTTGATTGAAATTACATTTTCGTTCGTGATGGTATATATGGTCCTCAGTTATAGTCATATTCCCCGAAATTGCGATATTTGAGATTTCTAATCTCTAGATAATTGGAACGATGACCTTGTTTTTATGACTGTGATCTTCATCGTCGAAATAGAGATCCCCGAACTTTCCTAATTATTGAAATCATACACATGCAATCAGTTGGCAAGGTGAAACAAAAGAGTAATTCTATCAGAACGAAAAAGAAGAATCAGTAGTGATGAAAAATCGAGAACAAAATTCTATGTAATAGTTCAAGTTATTCGATTGATCGATCAAAATCCAAAACGTCGAAATATTTTTCGTTATTGATAGTGATCATATCAGTACAATACTTTTTGTTGCTTAAGTAATGTATAAATAATTCTGACGACATATTGATAAGAAACCGATTTATACATTCATGTGATGAATAAGCAAGAAAAAAATACGTCTTTGATCATAATAAATCACATTTTTCTTCTCGTATCAATTCGAAATAATGACGTTATCGCTTTCCAATCAAGCGATGAAGTATCTTCTATATATATACATTCTTTTCTTCACCATACATAAACACAATAAATAAACATTAATCATGAGTAGTAAGTTATACAGTTGAATCTTCGACAAAATTCACCAGATTTTCTTCAGATTTCATCAACAACACGCTCGAAAAGAAGACCGGCCTCGACCTCAACCACGATGGATTCGTCGGCGGTGAAAAGAATGCCGAGAAACAATATGGCGTTGACTTCAACGGTGATGGATACATTGGTGGCGAAGGTAAACACTGTTTACACAGTTTGTCTCTCAAATTTAACGGCATCGATTGTAGGTATCGCAAGCAAGATTGAACGAACAACCCACGTTGATCTGAACAATGATGGCATCATTGGTCGTCCACTAGATACATATCCAGGTGGTTATGGCGCTCCTCGTTAAGTTTTCTAACGGACACTGTAAACATTCGATTCATAATTTCGTATTGATTCTCATTTAATAATAAATATTCGAAAGTGAAATATGTAAACAGGCGTGAATTTCATGTTTTTGATAGTGTAGCGTCTTCGTATTGCGTCAATGGACGAAAACAAAAACAAGTTTGTTCTGCGAAACTCTTTCAGTTGAAAATTAATTGTTGTTTTTGCTGTGAAAAACCAATCATATATAAACACATTGTCATTTTCATCACATTCCATTACTTCTATCTCTCCATGTCTTGCTGCTGCGATTGCGATTGCGATTGTGACATCTGCTGTGACTGTGGTTGTGACTGTTACAGCTGTTGTGATGATGTCGAAATCATCTACGTCGATGCAAAACCTCTCAAATGTTGTCCTGAACCCGTTGAATATTATGTGGAATACATAACGTGTGAAATTGATCCATGCGATGTTTGCTGCTGCTGAAATCCAAACAACAAACAGACTCTCATCTTCTCTATCGATTAATTAGCTTTACGTAGTATCATTTCTTCTTTTTTTTGTTTCGATGAAAATAAATGATTGTAAACAAAAATAAGAGCACATTGATTGATATTTTTCACTGCACTAAAAGCATAATCTATTGACGTCTACAGGCTCTATACCTATGCTTTCGATATCCTTCTTGATATGTTTTGTGCTGATCTGCCTGTTCGTTTATTACTTTCGTTTCCTTCGCCATCGTTATCAATATTTTCACCGGTGCGGTATTTCTACGCCACCGTTCCGGTTTTTCTTCGGACATTTGAAAACATTATGGAACTGTGCGTCTTATCATCGTCAACTTGAAAGTTGGACGAAACAATACGGGAAAATTTATGGAATTTATGAAGGATCGCTTCCGATTTTTGTTGTTAGTGATGCTGATTTCCTTCACGAAGTTTTCATCAAACAATTTTCCGTTTTCCACGCACGAAAACCGACGATGTTAGATAATATATTTCACGACATGTTCTTCTCCTCTGGAGCGAAGTGGCGTCGGCAACGACAAGTCATCAGTCCGACGTTTAGTGCAGCAAAACTGAAGACGATGAGTCCGCTCATCAATCGATGTATCAATGAATTCGAAAAGAAATTACCGCGACACGCCGAAGATGGCGAGGAGTTTAATATTTACTTCTATTACAAAACAATGACGATGGACGTCATTTGTAAGAATTTCCGGCAAAACAAAGTTAAAAATCTTTTTTGCTTAATTTTCTTCAGGTCGATGTGCATTTGGAATCGATACTGATGTACAAAATAATCCGAATAATATCTACTTTCGAAAGGTTTCCGAGTTCTTTGATACGAGTGCGATTGACACGAATATCTTATATCGATCTGCTCAGTTAATGCCAATAATCGCTACTATCCTAGGTCGGTTATTTGCCGTTACAAATAAAGCATTAACGGTCATCAACACTCGACTTTTGCCATTCATATCACCAACCAGACAACTGAGTGAAGTGCCGATCACATGGCTTGTCAATCGAGTGCACAGAATTGTCGACCAACGACGAAAAATACCTATTCTACGACCTGATCTACTGAATCTCATGTTAGAAACAATGAATGTACGTAAAATGTTCTAGATTTTCTTGTGAAATTATTTTGTCATAGGATGCAAGTGAAGATCCGAGAAAATCAATCAATCAATTAACTCAGGAAGAAGTTTGTGGAAACACCTTCATCTTCATGTTAGCCGGATATGAGACTACATCTACATCTTTGGCATATGCAACCTATGAACTTGCTCGACATCCAGATGTTCTTCAGAAATTACAGGCGGAAATCGATCAACTCCTATTGGAAAATTTCGATGACGATGATGATGAAGAAGTAAAGAAATATCCTGATTACGACATTGTCTCACAAATGTCCTATATGGATATGTTTGTTACGGAAGTCTTGAGAATGTATCCAGTTGCTAATCGAGGCATCCAACGACAGGCCATGGATGACACTGTAATCCAAGGAATTAAAATTGAGAAAGGCTGTGTAGTGTGTGCTGATGTCTATTCATTACATTATGATGCAGAACTTTGGGGACCGGAAGATCCATACGTGTTCTGTCCTGAACGTCATCAAATCAAACGTCATCCTATGGCGTACATGCCTTTCGGAGCGGGTCCACGACAATGTGTTGGTATGCGATTTGCATTGATCGAAATGAAGATTCTACTGACTAGATTACTTCGACAGTATACAATACTGCCTGGCGAACATATGGAAAGCAAATTTATTATTCAAGATCGAACAGTTATTGCGCCAGATGAAATCTGGATTAAACTAATTAGAAGAAATGTTGAGGGTATAGGCGTAGCTTGAGATTCAGCAGAAATATTTCATTTGTTTTTAATTAATCAATATACGATGGTGTAGGAGATTCAATAGACCACCTAAACATATAGAATAAGATGCTAATTAAAATATGATGTAGCGAGTATTACCGGATGGATCACATGCATATGCCTCTGCTGCACGAGCAATCAACCCATCAGGAGCTGTTGAGAGAAAGAAAAATATGATTCTATATTTATTTTGATTTCATTTAATCTATGGACTTTTTCTACAATAACTCGTCAATTTTGGCATTTAACTGTCATGGCGTGCGACTCTCGACCTGAGCCATATACTTATCTGCCACTTGAGATAACGCAAGTCCTATAAATAAAAATAATAGCTTAGTGTTCTTATTCTCCAGATGTTTATAAACATAGCAATGATTCTCAATAAGATTAACCATCTATTTGTTGTGAACATTTGATCAAGTTCTTCTACCCGTTGATCGAATTCGGCGACAGGGACAGATGGATCTCGTTTTATTTCGAATCGTTTTGCACTCTATTAAAAACCTTCCATTACAACCGACGATCAAAATCACTACACATGTTCTTCAATACCAGTTGTACAATCACTCACATTTCGAGCTAACGTAGCAAGGCTGAGAGTGGCTCATTTTTGCCCGAGAAAACTAAGAGAATGTTCTGTTCTGTAAACTTTAGGGTAAAACCTAACAGGAAAAATGGAAATGATATCATCGACATGCACAACTGAATGCGGTTTCCTAAATTCTGCTTGTCATGAGAACAGGCAAATGACTAAGAGACGTGCAGTTGAACAGAACAAGAAAAAAATCACACAATCGAAGAACATGACAAAATGTAGCCAATGATTTTTCAAGTTTTCATTTCCGATTGTACCTAAAAACAGATCTTACCTGCACAACAAAAACACACATAACATACCAAAACCTATTTTCCGCATATTTCAGCAGTCACTATAAAGAGTTTTTTCATATATCGATCGATTCATCAAACAAGATTCAAATGTAACTATTTCCACTGAATTTCTTCTCCAAACATGACTACTTCAAGCTCCATTCCATATGATTATCAACAAGCCAATCCATTGCTGTACACATTTCGTGATTATCATACGGGAATTCAACCGTATTTTATTTTACCAGTACAATTTTTAATCTTCGACTTGACATTACGCTTCTGGGATAGATTTATGTATGGCACCTGGTTATTACCAAGCGAGTTCATTGAAGTCAGCGCTGATGAAAAGGTTGGAATACCACCCTCGCCAGGACCGTTGCTATCACCATTACCTTCACCGCGAGTTCGAGTGATATTTTTTCCACAGCGACAAAACATCTTTAGTCTTTCCACGATCTTCTTTGCTCAAGACTATAAAAAGCTTTCAGTCAAAACAAAGAAAGCGAAACATATTCCAATCTTTGATTTATACGACCTACTAGTCTCTGTCACACCTTTACTCGCTCATGCTATTTGGTATTGTATTATTCAATCGAATTGTATGTCAGGTGAAAATGCAACAACATGGAATTGTTATAATCTCTTTGGCTATCGCATTTATAATTATATATTTAGTCCATTCGCTGTGTTCAGTTTTAACTTTCTTTCGAAGTTAATTTTAGCGATACAGAAACGAAGACAGAAAGTTTCACTATTTCAACGAAAACAGAAATGGAGAAGAATTGCAGTTATGATTATTTTCTTTATAACTTTAACTTTGTCGATACTCACATTTCTTTTCGTGGGAGCATTAGTTCTTCCGTTTTTCTTTACAAATACTTTACCAATGGTGATTATTTATGCATTCATAGCGATGACTTATCTGTACATTCTCATAGCTATCAACATTTTCCTGAAGTTTTACACGGTTGTCACCGGAAAGGCGTTTTCTCTCGGAGATGAGAATCTCAATTGGATTAAAAGGCAAATGAAAAAACTTCACAATCATCGACCATTAGTTATGCAAGCTGGCGTTCGCTTATTTCCATATCTACTCTCGATTTTATTTAATTTGTCTCAATTTTTATACTATGGATCAGATTACCTGGGTGCGATGAGTCGCGAAGCGCAAAAGAGAGATCCAACTGCTTATTTCGGTCGAGTGCAAAATTCATCGCAAATTGCACATACAATTTTAAGTTCAACATGAGAGATGGAGTTCCGCTCCAAAATTTTTCTTTATCATTCTTTTATTTTAAAAAGCAGACGTTTCTTTGTTTATTTTCTTCAAGGTGCGCTTTAACGATATTCTTACGATCAGTTTATATTCACACTACTTTCATCTTGAGGGTGTAATGAGTAAAAATAAAAAGCAAACTGATGCCTATATTCATACTCTTAAGTAATAAAAGATTTCGCCCACATTCAACTACATGTTGGAAAACTCCAATGTACCTTTACAATGTAAATATTGACCATAAGTACGACTTCAACTCAATATTGTTTTATTTTCTCATTCTTTATTGACTGGATGATAAAACTCGAATACCGTTACATATTTAGTGACTCAACTACACATCAGATACTGCACAAATGTAAAAAAAACTAGAATTACTAGTTTTTCTCTTGCGTTCTTTTACTTCCTCCAACTTTATGTGTTGTTTGACTCACAGTCTTGCAGCACAGAGATACTATAAAACAAAACTGATTTCAGCACTTTCGACTGCTTCAGAAGTCAAATAAGGATATTATCGCGTTACAATAAAAGCAAGTGCTCTCCATATTAACGACATCAGAGATTAGCGATATATCAAGTTCAAATCCAAGTTAAGAGTTACGGATTCATACTTAGCACGTTCCCAGTTTTAGAAGAAAATTTTAGTTTGTCTTTTCGAATATTAACATGCCGATACATAGTGGTATGTATAAAACGATTATGATCGAATCTATTGTTGATGCTGTTCTGCGACGCTTGTCCTGGCATTTTAGGTTTTTTGTGTGATGGCTGTAAAATAAAAGATTTCGAAGGTTTACGATATCATTGCGAAATCTGCATCGATTACGATTTATGTGAAAAGTGTCATGATGACGGGAAAGAAAGTTTACAACATTTAAATGTACATTCTATGGAACGCATTTCAGATTCCAGTCCATCTCAAGTGAGCTTCATAGCGATGATTTTGTTGCAGAGTAGAGTAGTTAATCAGACAAGATATGAGGCAGTGAAGGATCCGAAAACTCGAGTTTAAGTGAACTTTTTCAAGATATAACTCATACCACAGGTGAACACCTGACGACTAATATGCATCAAGATTCACGTGCTTGTAGGAAAATGTATAAAACCAGCGTCGTCCTCTAGATGCTACAAAAAATTTCTTATCGAAAAACAGAACTTCGACTTGAATATATTCATTTGTCATTTTTATTTTATCTGACTTGAAGTCAGCTGTTGTACTAAATTCGTCAGTAGACGGTTCAATGTTACCTGATGGAAGCAATGACAATCGAATAAGTGAAGTGGAATATCTCTCTATTTTATTGGATTTTTGTCTCCGACGGTTTATTGATGAGCCAATACGTTGTGAATACATCAATACTGTCCATTTCAAAGAACGTTTTGCTGATGCTTTAAACTGGACGAATGGTTTCATCGCAAAATTATCTGGTAGCCGTCTGACCGGTTTAGTCGAACAATATTTCGTTGAGTTGGATAACGATCGTAAGATTATATATTTGTGTAGATTGCATATATTATTCCATGAATGATTCTTTTAAAGAAATGTCATTTGAAGGCGGTGATATGGATATCATGTTTGAGCCTCGAGATGCTTTTGTATCAGATGTGAAAACAGAATCACCATTACAAATTGGATTTGTTGAAACAACAAGTTATCCCGGTTTTTATTACATTCAATATAATTCCGAAACAGAATTTCATTCGACATTGAAGCATTTAGATATTTTTGAAGAACGAAATGATAAACAATACATATCAAGTAAAAAAATAACGGATTTGCTACATAGTGAATTTGTTAAATATGATCAAAAGGGTCCGTGTGTAACGGAACAGCATGGGCCAGCTATGACAGCTTTACTGAATAAGACAAGAGCACTGCAAGACTTTGTTTTTTCATTATCAATGCCAAACATACCTTGTCATGTACTTGAACAATGGCTCCATCGCTCCAAGCAGTGGCCATCAGCACATGTTATTGAAATGGTACGAAAATCAGTGTGCCATTTAGTACCTAAACGATGGCTCGGAATTAACGAAGGTGAAGAAGATTCATTAACATGGCGTCTATCGCTAAGCTTTGCAGAAGTGCTGTTGACGGACTCATGGAACGAACAGGAAAAAGATTTTTATCGATTGTTGAAGTCGTTCATTCAAGAATTAGCACCAGGTTCGTTATACTTGATAATATCTCACACATCGTTTGTTCATGTCAAACATAAACGAATATAAAAAGATGAGAGTCCATCCATGAATCAGTACCGTTCGCAAAGTTTGCTTTATCTATAATACCGACTGAATTATATGTTTGTTTAGACACCATATCGTCGCATCATATTAAAACATTTCTCTTTACATATATGGAAGGTAATTATCTCCGAGTGCAAGAAGCACAAGAACAAGCGGATTTATTCCTACATATCGTACAATGTTTGTCACTTGCTTTGAAAACTAAAAGCATGTCAAATTATTTTATACCTGATATCGACATGCTGCGATTAATACCCGAAGAAAAATGTATGTTTTTAGCTGAAAAATTGGAGGGTGTTTCCATGGGGTTTCTACCACGTTATACAAAAGTATTTCCTTTCAACGTGAAAATTTCAGGGTTTGTAGAGCTCAATGAGGCAATCATTTTGACCGATTTAGATTTTGCAAAATAT